TGCGAAAATAAATAAATAGCCAGGAATATGCTGGAATAGTTTTAAAGAGTTACAAATAATCATTTAATTAAAAAACTAAATATCTGCAACATTCCATTATCAGAAAGTGAAGAATACGACATTTGATGAATTCTTTCGATGTATGGTTTTTGAGGGTTTAACTGTATGAAAGAATACGATATTTCTTATGACCTAAACCTCCATAAGTTCCGATACTGAAGTTTTGATTCGGTATTCTTTGGGACTAAGAAGATTAAGTAAGACCAGAAAAATATTTTAATCTATGTAAAAAAAAGGAACAAAATACAGTAATAACCAGAAAACAATAGAATATGGAAGACGTCATTGTAGCAATGCTTAAGTGTATTTTAAAAGGACTGTAAAGGAAAAATGAAAGGGGGCCCCGTGATTTCCGTCTGTATTATGTAACAACGATTCTGCACTCTGCCATTGGCTGAAGTTCTGGTGACGTAATACTGACTATACGAATTATATGTAATAATATTATCAATTATATCTAATAAAAATGCAAAATAAAAAAAATAAAAATATAATAGGAGCAAACCTGATATTCTCAGGCCCCTGTGGGATATCCTCGTTTTCAGATTGGTTGCGTATTTGTTGAATAAGATCTGTTTAATACTACAACTCTTGTACAAAATTGCATATACTTGAATTTTCGTATAAATTTTTCACGGTTTTATATCAATTTCTTGAGACAGGAACATCAGATAAATGTCTTATATGTATCGTTTAACGCCTGAGATTCTCAGGGTTCATCCTATACCCCCTTTTATTTTTCCTTTACAGCCCCTTTAATGGTTTTAAAAAGCAAAAAGTTTTACTAGGCATTTACTAAATCACTAATTTTGTGAAAGGAGTCTGTTTACACTCCACAATTGTTGTGTCTCATGGTCATAAGACTTTTTAAAACTATAACTTGATTATGAAAGTCGTCTTCATATCTGTTTTGTTCTGGTTATCTCTTTATTCACACTGGACAGTCATCTCTTATCCTTTGTGGGGAACACTGTATCATCCCATGTATGTATTTAGTAGCGGAAATATCTGCATCTGCGTTCAATATTATAGAATAATTAATAAGCATGCATCAGCATATTACATAGTTTGTAAATAATATAGGTAAATGATATAGGTAAATTATATAGGTAAATTATAAGGGTAAATTATATAGGTAGTTTGTATAGGTAAATAATATAAGTAAATTATATAGGTAAATAATATAAGTAAATTATATAGGTAAATTTTATAAGTAAATTATATAGGTAGTTTGTATAGGTAAATAATATAAGTAAATTATATAGGTAAATAATATAGGTAAATTATATAGGTAAATAATATAGGTAAATAATGCAGGTAAATTGTATAGGTAAATAATATAGGTAAATTATATAGGTACATTATATAGGTAAATTATATAGGTAGATTGTATGGGTAAATAATGTAGGTAAATTATATGGGTAAATTACAATTTATATAGGTAGATTATATAGGTAAATTATATAGGTAAATTATATAGGTAAATAATATAGGTAAATAATATAGGTAAATTATATAGGTAGATTGTATAGGTAAATAATATAGGTAAATTTTATAGGTAAATAATGTAAGTAAATTATATAGGTAAATTTTATAAGTAAATTATATAGGTAAATTATATTGGTAGATTATATAGGTAAATAATATAAGTAAATTATATTATAAAAAATTAGTATTCAAGCTTACTTCAAGATAAACAGTAGGGAATCATATAACCTGGGGGCCAAACATCAACTGAATTTATGGGGCATATCCCCCCTCCCCCCCCCTACCCTGCATCCTTTGTAATCCAAATACTTAAATGGATGCTTTATTAAAAAGTTAAATTCTATTATTTTGTGTGAAAATGCGAGTAAAAAAACTCTCATTCGATATTTTAATCCTGCAGTATCTGCTCGTTTATATTCAAATAAATCTAAACCAAAGCAAGGCCGGTAGATAGAGGGCACGTGTCCACCCCCCATTTTCCCCCGAAGGGGGGCACAGGGGGGGGGCATAATATCTAAGAAATTTTAGAATAAAATGAAAAAATGAAAGTAAGGAAACGAGAAATAAAAGAAAGAAGGAAAAAAGGGAGAAAATTGGAGAAAAATCTTATTTTTGTTACCAATATGATCCTTATTATATTTTATATTGACAATGTACTTCAGACTGGATGCGTCCGTATTCAGGATCTGCTTCCAAAATTTAACCAATCAGCGTGTCAAGTTTAATGCGATAAAAAAGCGCTTTTGATCGCTTCTAATCTTACTTCTATCTGTTGCGTCTATTAGGAGAAAATTGTTAAAAACGACTAATACAGAAGAACGTAGTTTCCATACAAATTCAGAAAGATGCAACATTCAACTCGGATCGTAAACAAATCAATTTAACCCTATCTCTGCTGGGGTACTTGAAAACCAGGATACGCTGAAGGGGGTCAATTTGACCCCCCTCCCTCTAAATCCCATGTTTGATGTCCAAATATGACAAATGATACATAATAGGGTTAATTCCAAACAAATCATTCAGATATTACGAACAATAGTCATCGGTTATTTTTCGACGCATTCGTAAATAGTTGATATTTCATAATATTTTGTATTTTTCACGATCTGAGAGTTACTTTTGAAAAAAATTATTCCTGTTTCGAGCATATTTGATAATGAAGACGAAATTTTCATATTTTCCAGGAATGTTCGAAAATCCAGCGCCAGCGAAAATTATTTTAAAAAAATAAAAAATATTATGAAATATTAACTATATACGAATGCGTCGAAAAATAATATCTGAATGATTTGTTTGGAATTAAATTGATTTGTTTGATTTGACTTAAGATGAATCAGATATTAGTCCAATCGATATAGCATCATATCTGTAATTGTTATCATAAGTAACTTTTATACAAAAAGAGGAGATTAAGAAGAAAATCAAAAGTGTGTCCATTGGATACTCAGATTAAGTAATCGCGATTATGGATATCTCATTCTAAAGTTTTCGGCTCTGATAAAATATCTCCTTGTCTTGTTTCTCTCAATATTCCGTGAAACCAGGTGCTCACTTGATTTTTCTTACATGGAGTATTTGGCATTTTGCTATAGGGTTCCTTGATACTCGCCGCTGCTACCACTATTGCAGTAAATGCACACACCTAAAACTGCTCTCAGACCTGTATCAATCCAGGTACAACTTGTCAGCAATCAATATCAACCAGAACATAAGCAAGAAAACTGTATCAATGTCAAACAGGGACACAATCTCTTTATAGCTATTAATTTCAACACGGACACAATTAAGCGAGTAAACTATCAATGTCAAACAGGGACACAATCTCTTCAGCTATTAATTTCAACACGGACACAAGCGAGTAAACTATCAATGTCAAACAGGGACACAATCTCTTCAGCTATTAATGTCAACACGGACACAAGCGAGTAAACTATCAATGTCAAACAGGGGCACAATCTCTTTATTAGCTATTAATTTCAACACGCACACAAGCGAGTAAACTATCAATGTCAAACAGGGGCACAATCTCTTTATTAGCTATGAATTTCAACACGGACACAAGCGAGTAAACTATCAACGTCAAACCACTGGGCACAATCTCTTCAGCTATTAATGTCAACACAGACACAATGTAAGTAAATTATCAATGTCTAACAGGGACATTATCTCTTCAGCTATACAATGTCAACACAGACACAATGTGAGTAAACTATCAATGCCAAACCACTGGGCACAAACTCTTCAGCTCTTAATGTCAACACAGACACAATGTGAGTAAATTATCAATGTCAAACACAGGAACGATCTCTTCAGATAATAATGTCAACACAGACACAATGCGAGTAAACTATCAATGTCAAACCACTGGGCACGATCTTTTTGAGTTTTTTTTTGGTAAAACAAACTTAAGACCCGCTTTGCGAAGTTTTTATAAAAACATTGTGCATTTTAATATAAAAAGACGATAAAAATTACTTTTCAGGAAATTAAAAGTTTAAAAATCCTCTGATAACTTCACTGTAAAGATAAGTTGTAAATAATTATCCTTTTATTATTCCCTTTTTTCTTTTTTTTTAATGTTCTTTTACTTTTTAATTTTCCTATTTTTCTTTTTTCCCTTTTTTGTCTAAATGTTTGCCCCTCCCTCTGGAGAAAAGGGGGGGGGGCACGTTCTCCTGTGACACCTATAGCTACAGGCATGATCAAACAATTAATTAAACATAGATTACGTAATTACACATATACATATATACCATGCAGATAGGTAAATATGTAGATTCAAATGTTAAGTTGTGAAATAAAAATATAAATTTCTGTAACTTAAGAAGCGCAAATTTTTTTAAGAATTGCTATATTTTTGCAAGTTGGACTTCACCCGGGGTTCCCCTTCCCGTACACTCCTCAAATTAATAATAGCATTTATTTATGACATTTATTAGGAAACATAGATTTTACTGATCAAGAGGGGGCTAAGGGGGACTGAGCCCGATTATAGTCCCCCCCCCCATACGATACGCATCTGTTATACACCTCCAGGGGCGGAATAATTAATTTTTTTCTCTCGTCAACAAATTTTATTCCTTTCCTATGCACTATTTTCCTCCAAACACTAAACATCTTTTATCCTTTTTCTTATAAAAGATTCATTTTGAGGGTTTTCAGATTTCACTTTTACCGGTGTTCGGAGATTTTCCCAAATTAAAGACCAGACTTTGCATATTTTGTTAGTTCTGCTCCGTATAAGTATTATTGGGCAGGTATCCCCCCTTTCCCCCCCTTCCCCAATCTGAAACCGGTTGAGTGCACAGGTGAGCTGATCTGCACTTGTTAGACCGGCACTGTGTCGCGGCACGGATTCCAGAGCATCCAGGCAGACGAACCGGGTCAATTTTAGGACTGAGAAGACAGTAAAAGGCCCATGCCGAACACGTATACCGCGCCTGAACAGTGCACTGCACACTCACTCAACAAAGTTTCATACACATATGCCATCACAGTAGAGTATAAGACCTCAATCTGAATAGACTGTGATTTTAACCTAGAACTAACAGAGCATCCTAGAATGAGGATGGGTGAAGCTACTAATAATAACACACAGAGCATCGCCGACTATTTGGCGCAGCTTCTAAAGGACAAAAAGCAGCTTGCAGCTTTCCCGAATGTATTTGTGCACATGGAACGTTTGCTAGATGACGGTAAGTTATCCTGCCCATCTTTGTGTACGCAACGTATTCTATGAATCTGAACATTCTTGTGAAAACGAAAGTCTAAAACCAAGCCTATCTCTTGTGTCTTTATACCTGCTTCTGCATAATTTATTTTGAATGGAATCGAGTTATTGTTTTAGTAAAAGATTTTTTTTTTAACTGAAATTAATTATTAGATCTTTATATTTACTTTGCATTAAAGTTTTTGATATAATTCGAGGCTCTTAAATCATATGCTAGGACAGACCCATAACATCTCATGAGGAGGGAATCGGTTCTTTTTATTTCGAAATATCTAATAATTGCATTCAATCCAATTGAATTTTTTGGAATTAAATTCTAAACAATGTATATATTTTTACAATATTTACATTGAATTGTATTATTGAAGGGCGTATTTGTTTCACTGTTGGCTAATATTATATTTTTATATGCGAAGGGAGGATGTTTCCGATCAACTCAAGGGTAGAAGGATTAGCGGGTTATAAAATATTTTTTTTTATTCATATTTATCTGAAAAATGAAAATTTTATCACAGTTATTGATTATGGATGTATATTTGGATTTCATGACCCCTATAATGAATACTAAACCCTTAGATATTGCACCCCCCTGGGCCCTATAGGGGTGGGGGGGGGCAGGTTGTGTATAATATATTCATAAATATACAAAGAAATGTTTGCTGTCTTTTTTTCACGACAAGTTTGAGAATTTCAAATATTTTTGTAAACAAAGGAGTGTATTCTCTATAGCACCAACCTATAAATGTGAAAATGAGGAAGTAGAAGGGGGGGGGCAGGAAGTGGGGGAGGTACTAGTATTTCTAGATGATATATCCAGTTAGCATATATACAGATATATATGTATATATATTTTAACGTTAAATACTAGGAAATCAGCTGCACTGTATTTACACAAATCAGCTGATAACAGCTCGTTATACAAGACTTGAATTTACAACTTTTAACATTCACGTTTTGAAATATTTCTTATCTTGAATATAAAAATATTAAAATTTAAGAAAAAATCAATGCTAAAAAGTTAAAAAATGGTTTAAAAAATCAAAATTAGAGTAAATAACAGAGATTTACAATTTTTTTTCTGAAAAAGTTTTCATTGTAAAGCTTAAAGAGGATAAAGATAAGCAAATAATTAATTTTTTTCTCTCGTCAACAAATTTTATTTATATTCCAATTCTTGTAAATTTCATTTATGACGTTAATTGTTCTTTTTTATATTTTGGCTGAAAAAAATAGTAATGAAATAATGTCAATTATTTCGTTATCATCCAAACAAACTAAAGTTGCTTTTGTGTAAAAATAAAGTTATTCTTTAACCGAAAAAATGTGTAAAACCCTGCCGCTATTAGATTTGCTCACGCTGGGTTAATGTGGAGGGGTGAATGAATGGGGGGGGGGGGATAAGTATGCATATTTTAGACAGCTTTTAGGGTTAAAGAACTCTTATCACGACTGATTTAATTATCTTATACAGTTAGGTTTTAGTGTCAAGATGTTGGGACACTCTACGTAACCCCAAACACCCTGATATTTTGTACGTAAAATCGAACTCATCAAAAACATTACTAACATTTTTTACAAAAAAAAGACACGAGCAGAATTTCGAGTTAAGAAAATTTGCTAAATTTTCCTAAGTTCATAATTTTTCGATGAAAATATGGATGTTTCTTTCGTTGAGTAGTGCTAGTAAAGGTGCAGGTATTGAAGTTGAATTTAAATCTGATTATTTAATGATATTCTCTGCACACACCTCAAGTACATTGCCCCCCCCCCCATACACCTGGGGGGCTAAATATTTGGTGAATAGTGGGGGGGGGGGGGGGTGGAATGCAAACCCCCTGTTCAACTTGAAAAACAAAGAAAAAAACAGAATGAGTAAAGTTTTGTATAATCTAGCAACACTCATTTCCTATACTTTCTAATCGTGCTTATTTAGTGAGAGGATATTAAGTAATACCGGAATATCCGGGTACACCCCCCCCCTCTCAAATTTACTGTTAATATTCATGGTTTAGCCGTAAAAAATATTTTCTAATAAAAATGTTAATGTTGATCATGATTCTTGCGTTAGCAGAGGGTTATCCCATCATTCATTAATCCCCCCCCCCCCCCAGCTCACGAAAATACGCTGAAAATCCTCGAAAGATCAAACTGAACGATTGCAAGGGTAGGAAACTTGAAATTATGTCCTTAAATTGTATAAATATGTTGTCCTCAATTTTTTATAATATTTGACATTTGACCCGGTTTGGGTTTAAATTCAAAATTTTCTTGTCTTATATTCAAATATAAAATTTTTTTTATATTATCATGAAAAAGGGGCTATTAATATAATCTGTATATACTTATATGCCTGGGTAAACGTCTGCCTATTAAGTTATTAAAGCGTAGACATCTACTCTGCAACCTTTGACTTGCCACGTTAGGAAAATTCGCAATTTGTTGGTTTAAAAGTTTGCATAAATTATTTGCAATCCATATTTGCAATCCATATTTGTTTGTATTTCTACATGGAACAAATTTTAACGAGTGTTGGCGCGCTTATACAAATAAATTGAAATTTGAAATTAAATATTTAAGCAAATTAAGGTGGACCGTGAAAAAAAAAACATTTAAATCATGAAAAATTATTATTACATAGGTTCCTATTTTTGGGTCATTTAACAACAAAGTTTAAAATTTACTTGAAACACATACTTACATTCTTACATTGTTTTGTTATAGTAAAATTATAATATGGTGTTTTGATGCTGAAATCCTTAATATTTTGATTTTGGAGAGATTATATTAAACACTAATCAACTGTCGTACATTAAATGTACATTAAATGCACCAAATTAAAGAAAAACATTCTCTGCGTGTTGTTGTAGATAAGAGTTACGAAAAGTGATAATCGTTTTTTAAAATCTATCTTTGTAAATGTAACCTTTCGTATTTGTATGAGTTAGCATAAAAATCTTAAGTGAGAAAATTCAAAGGTTGCAAAGTTGCAAAGTTATAGAAAATAGAAAATTAGAGTTAGTTTCAAGTGCTAATTCAGTGACTTTATTTTTTTTTCAAGATTCATATTCATATTTAAATTTTCACAACTCTGCAAAAAAAGTTGCTCTCTGTAATAAATGATAAACAATGTTTGACCGAAATATTTTGTTGCAATCTTGTCAAATTGTGAAAAGAATTGTTGTTACCAATCTATTCATGTAAATCAGTGCTCATAATCCGGCCGGATCGTAACATTTGGACTTTCTGGATCCGGATCCGCAAAAATATGTTTCTGCTTAACACGTATCAATTTTGAACTAAGAATTATATTATTTATATATTATTATCTAGGTTTTTTTTCGTCGTTTTTTTGCAAGTAAATCTTATTATTACATAGTATATTATAAAACAGTTTTAATAGAAACTTCGCAGAATTTTCTTTTTAGAAGTAACATTTGAAACTTTAAATAATAAAACTTTTAAAATAATTTTGTTTTTCTCCAAATTAAAAAGTAACTTTAATATTCATCGTTAAAAACCTTTTTTTTTTGGGGGGGGGGGGGCTCAAACGATACTGTAAACTTATGGTTTTTATTTTCAAATTGGTTTCTTGATTCCATTAAAGCGTTGGAAATTGTAATTTGCATATTTTGCGCATCATTAACACTCAACTCCTAATTCTCACCTGTGGAGGAACCCTCCCTGTAACCCCTCTCACCCCTCACCACATGTATATACACCTCATACAGGGTGTCCCACATAAATTGGATCAAATTAAAAGCTCATATTTCAATGAAGTTGTTTAGGAAATGTCAATAAATGAATATTTCCTTCTCAAAAAGTATTTTTTTATCACATCTTCATCCACTGAATACAAGCTTTTAATTCAATTCAATATAATGTGGGTCACCCTGTACCCTGAGTATTATTATGATCCTATGTTCGTTCTGCCCCCAATACTGCCGATTATATGAAATGATGCGAAGTGAATTCTACATTTTAAATTAGCTTTTCTATAATGTTCAAAGATATGAAGATAACGTAAATGGTTTCGAACTGATTTCAATAATACAAGTTTGATCTAGAAGTTCATTTGTTACTCCTAGATCTTGCTTCAAATCTAGATTCGTTTATATTGCCATTTTTTTCTGTTCTTAATTCTTCCTGAGACTGTTTTAAATGGATAGCCAGACGTTTCACCTTCTTCTCTTGGCGGCAAATTCTTGATTTTACAGTTCTGGTAACTGGCTGAAACTAACGTATTTTATGTTGGAGTAGGGTTTGACGAAACTTGCATATTAAAAAAAAAACACAAAAAATCAATTTAAACATCCGACCCTATGTCAAATAATGTTAAAAATTTGATATGTACTGTATACATTATACACATGTACAGTGTACAGTGGTTGATGTAAACAAACACACATGTCCAGTTTTTCAATAATTGTCATGGAGGAACCTTGCTGTTTTGTTTTTGGGAAACGCGGAAAAAATATTCTCCAGGATGGAGACTTTTTCCAGTATTCCAAGAATTATACCAAAAAAGAAAAGTCTTACTGGAAATGTGTAATATCAAGCTGCAAAGGAAGAGCTATCACAAGTGGGGATTTTATTGTAGAAAAAATCCATCATGATCTTAGAAGAGAAGACACATTGGCTAAACTACTTTTCAAAGAGCTCAAAGACAAGACCTACATTGATCCGAAGGCAGCTCAATCGGCAAGAATTCTTGAAAGAAATAAACGATTTAAACAAATTGTAAATTCTTTTGATGTATCCAATACAAATTATCTTATGGAAATAATAAATAATTAATTTTTTTGTCAAATTATTAGTGTTATTTATTACTGTAATTTTAAGTTCATTTCGTATCAACACTAATATTGAAGAAATTATGTTGTATTAAAAAAGCAGCCCTGACAGCAGTTTCAGTAATTTGCCGGCAAGACAAGAAGGTGAAACGTCCGGCTACCTTTTAAATGACCC